ATTGTTTTGTACGTCTGGTAAATAGGAGACAAACGAAAAGACAGAAATTAATAAAACACATTTTGAACACTTTGATCTTTTTCATTGATTCATCCATGTCAATTAATATATCAACGTGTCATTTTATGTATGTTAATTGTTTTCAAGAATGTTACTTTAGGATTAACTTCATAAAGAATTTCAAAGTAAATTTCTTTGACATATACAAAAACAATAAAGGCGTACTCACACTTATAATATAGAGTTTTACAGTATTGTTCACATTTACGGAAGACCAAGCATAAGGCAAATAGTTTAATGTGTTAGGGTCACCCAAGCATGTACGTATGTATGTATGTATGTAAATAAATAAATAAATACAAATTTAAGAGGTTTGTTTTAAATTGCATACAATGCATCGAAATAATTTTAACCATTCGTCTAAAACAAAGACTTTAAGACCAAGCAGATGCCTCTGCAAGTTGATAACCATAGACATAATAATTTATTATTATTATTATTAATAATAATTTATTATGTCTGTGTTGTTGACTACAGCAGTAGGCAGGACTAACATGCAAGCGACAATGCCATTGGCTAGTGCTCACCTGTCAACTGTCCGCGTTTTGATTTCAGCAAATCGCAATGCCGAAATCAACGCAACGTGATTAATATTCATGAGACCAACAGAACTCGGCATTAACGCGGCAGCCTGTGATATGATGAATATGAAATGATGTAGGCCTATTTGACGATTGTGAGAAGGTAAGACAAGAGCAAACAAAATTAAGAAGAAAAAAAGTTGTAAGTTAATGTTGTTAAATAGATTACTTTTATAGTGTTCTTAATCTCCGAACTAAGCAATTCTCTAAGTTTTGTTTAATTTGAAAAATATATATTTTCAGACCTGCCTCTAACTCACTTACTGAACGTTTCTGTGTCGAACTGGTCGATAAAGCCACAGTGTTTACACTTTTCAGGGTAATCATCCTACAGATGGTTTACTTATTTGTCTCTACAGATGAAGCTGAGAAAGTGCCTGTGGTCGCAGTGTTAAGAAAATTCTCCAGCTGAGGCTCCAGTCAGAGCTGCCTGTAAGTTAAGCCATGATGGACAGCTTGCTGTGGCAGTATCTTTTCTCTGTCACTGCTTTAACAAGAGCAGGCAAGTAACAGAACATAGTTGCTTACACTTGATCTTCTTCTCTTGGTCCTCCTTTCTCAGTGATGTAGAAAGCTAAAAGATTTTGAAGAGTATTCATAAATGCATTTACATAATAAAGTGCTTGGTAAGATTTTTTTCTTATGTCTTATGTCTTATATCTTAAAAATACGGTAAAACATAAAAATTGTGGAAAAAAACAACAATTTGAAATAACTATTTTCCTTATTATTATGTTATAAAATGTAATATATTCCTGTGATGGCAAAGCTGAATTTTCAGGAGCATTTAATTTGGTGTCATCATATTTATTTACAGAATCAGACTCATTATACTCATTGACCTTAATCAGGTGAGATGCCATATTGAATTTAACACCGATGAAAACGAGGCTATGAAGGAAGACTTGCAGTCTTTACTCAAAATGGAGTTGTGAAACTTATGCAATTCCTACGCACTCTTATGGAGTTTTTGTCTGCTTTTTTTTCCAGAAAGATGTTTCAGCTGCACAAATCGGTATGTTGTTAAACAACAATACATTCCATTGAACACACAGTACTTCTGTCCCTCACAGCCTCGTTTTCATTCCTGTCTAAAATTAAACATGGCACCATACTGACTAATGTCTATTATGTTGTATGCAGGGTGAATTCATTTAAATTGATTGACCAGATAATTTTGGAATGTCATTTTTGTATTTCTATATTTGACATGTGGAACCTGATTTTTTCTGGTCTTAGTTTGTTTAGGTTGAGGTGTGTCCTGTCCATCTTGACATTCTAATTTTTTATTATAAAGTTAATATATTTGTAGTAAACAGATTAATCTCTAAAAATGTCATGAATGTTATATTGATGGCCTCTTTATTTAAATATGCAGACATCTGCAAATTATTTAATTAAAAAAAGGGCATTCCCTCTGTGCTCTAGATGATTTGTCATAAACCTACCTGCGTTCACTCACTATGTAAGTGAACAGGGCCTAACAATCATTTTATTAATGGCTTATTTTTGGTTGATTAAATATTATTAGTAACTCAATCCGCTGAAGTCTGCTGTGAGGTTGAATGCCTATGTTTACGGGCCCCTGAGAGTGCTGATGTTTCTATATAAGTTATTAGTCTAATAGAGGGAGCCTGGGAAACATATGACCTGCAGACTGTTGGAACATGTGCATGGGTGGTCAGGGTTGTGTCTGAGCTTCCATTCTATGTTCAAGTGAAGATGGATGCTGCTATTTCTTTCCTGAATGCAGCAACCAAATACCTTTAAAAAAAATGAGATTGGACCTAAATGACTATTGTCCATGTATGAATCTAGGTATTATATCTCTTCAAAAAACAGAATAGCTATTGAATGTGTGTGAGCGTGTTAAAATGCTTTGGACAGATAAAGAGTGAAATTAAAGCCCTGCTATCTACAATGTTGCCTCCGTGAACCAACCACACACACACACACACACACACACACACGCACACACACACGCACACGCACGCGCACGCACATCACAAGTGTGTCCAGGTTTGAAGTGCTGTCCTGACTTTGAAAACAGATTCTCAGACATAGCGGCACAGAACCACTTAAATATGAATCTGTTTGTTTTTATCTCTTCTGAAATTTTAAATAGGTTAGGAATTATGAATATTTGATAGATATTATGAATCTGCACTTCTGATAAAATAATTGCAATAAAAAATCAATCAACACATTTACAGTCCTACGGCACTTTATGTGCTTCTTTTTCAGTTCTAAATTTTACTAACAGTTTTTTTTTACATTTTAAAGGGGTCATATGCGATTTAAATTTTTCTCTTTGAAGTGTTCCAAGCGCTTGGTGCATAAAGAAGATCTGTAAAGTTGCAAAGACTAAAGTCTCAAATCCAAAGAGATATTCTTTATAAAAGTTAAGAGTCAGCCACACCTACCTAAAACAGCTCGTTCTAACACGCCCCCACATGTCTACGTAACGATGTGGGAAGATTTGCATAACGCCGCCCAAATGTTCACGCAAAGAAAGAAGGCGTAACTTTTATTCTCGCTGTAGTATTGTTGCTGCCGCCATGTCGTGAAGACACTGTGTTTCGTTGTGAAAGCGAAACTACTTTGTTTGGCCTTCCAAAAGAGGACGATATCCACTTAGTCAGAACTGATCTGTGCAGGTCGCTGAGGGAATACATCAACTTCGTGCTGTGGATCGCCGGATCGGCTTTCACCGTGGACGAAGCGGAGTCCAGCCCGGGGTCGTCACATGTGCTTGCCGCAAACCCGCCGGCCGCTCCTTTGTCGAATCCGCCGGCCGCTGGCCTCCGCTCACTCTAGCCTGCCGTTTGTTACGCTGTGTTTCGTTGTGAAAGTGAAACTACTTTGTTTCGCCTTACAAAAGAGGACACGACTAGAAATCAGTGGTTAAGTTGTATTTACAACACTGTTCCAGAACAGTTCAACCCAAATATTCATTTGTGTGCAGCAATTTTGTATGGAGGACCTTTTCCTGATCCTGGAAGAGTAGACTAAAATGCTGGCTGTTCTGACTCACAGACTATAAGTATGCTTTCATTTAAAGGATTTGCCGATGACGATTCAAACGCGAGTTTTGGGCAGTGTAGAGTAGCGTTTGTTTGTCATTTTTCCGATCACAAATGCAGACATGGTTTTATGTTTACGCGGCGTGATGCAAAGCAAGACCGTATATGTCATTATAATCCGTCCCCACTGGATGCAACTAATGCCTCATTTATAATGGGTTTTAATGGGTTTGTCTCGTCGCTCCGGCCTGACAGGGCATCACCACATTTCATTACACCAAATACACAAAATAATGTTCTTTTTAGCAAGATCATATGACCCCTTTAATAGTGAATTGTGTGTAAAGTTATTTTAATTTCAGCAAATATATTGGCATATATATACTGCCACCCTGCTATCATATATATGTATGTATATATATATATATATATATATATATATATAGTGAATTGTGTGTAAAGTTATTTTAATTTCAGCAAATATATTGGCATATATACTGCCACCCTGCTATCATATATATGTATGTATATATATATATATATATATATATATATATATACACACACACACACACACACACACACACATACATTAATAGTTAATAGTAGTGTTTGATAAGCCAAAGTTCACATGCATTGAGGTAAAGCATTTTTGTAGGTCCAAGTAAAACCTTTGTCTTTTACCACTGCTTGAGTATTTGCCCACTTCTGTATTGTCCACTTGACTAAGAGTGCTGATTTGTTTTCCCAAGTGATCCTGATGTTGGTTCACTGGAATACTGCAAATATCAAATTTATCTTTAACCTGATAACATGACCAGGTCAAGCATTTATTGAACAACCATGACTCCTGTGCCTGAGCTTGTGTTAAAATGGATGCAAATGTGGTGTTGTTAGTGTGGCCTGAGTTAAAAAAAAGACCCAGAGGCAAACTAACTGTTCTAAACAGAATTATTTGAAACAATATGGTCCATAGTCTCCTTACAAGTGGTCTACTTGTCATCTCACAAAAAGGTGGTGAAGACATTGAAGGCAAACAGAAATATGGACTTCATTCTAACTGTCTATTTAAGGGCAGTTAAACACAGTTACACAGCGCTCGGATATCATGTACCTCAATGTCAGTGGTTACAGCTGTGGTTATGGTTGCTGGCTGGGGTTTGTGTGTGTCATTGAAGTTATGTGTTTTTCTACACAATGTGTTATGCTTTTTTTTTTCCATGCTGAATGACGTTGGGAGCAAGACTGTACGTTTCATACAGACATTCTTAGTCAGCAGTGAACTTTGAGCTCTCTGACTCATTATTTGACGTGAAAACACCAGCAGCCTTTAACAGTGTTTAATAGAGATTCTTTTTGTGGTTTTATTGTGTTTTTATGTGATTCTTGTGTGTGTCGCAGAGCAGGGAGGATTGTCCCTGCTATTGCCTCGGCTGGCACAGAGGGTTCTCGGTAAGGGGAAGAAAATGCATTCCAGGGCTACCTCGGAAAAGTCACTCGCTCTCTGATACACACACACACTTCTGGTTGGTTACTGCGGCACGGTTTGGCTGCAGCTGAAGACAGAGGGGAGGGGTCTCTCTTAGTCTCCACTCTGACTGAAACTGCTCTCTTGCAGTGCTTTTGCTGGCAGGATCGAATGAAACAGGACGTTCTGTCCGGGACAGGCTTACCTGTGGAAAATGTGTGTTTTGATAAAATCAGGATTGATTCAAAACACTTGAAAAGCAGGTATGTCTTCAGTGGCTTATTTAAGTCATATACTGCGTAGTTGCATGAGACAGCCTCTAACTTTTCTTCAGCTCTATGTATGTGAGGGATGTTTTTATGGTTTTCAAGTCAGCTGGGGCTTTTTAAATAACAATCCCAGTCTAATAACTTATATTAGGATTAGAAAGTACATTCTTGAAGCTTTGAGTTTATTTATATTGCGATGTTCTGTCTTTCGATGCACTGACAAGCACAGAAAACTATTTAGAATCCCAGCCTCAAAAGAGACAAGAGAGGTTATTGATTTATTTTCTGTATATTACGCTGAAAGAAATGCAATTTCTTTCCCAGCTGTTTACCTTCACAGACATAACCGACTGTTTTGTAACTTGTGTGTTTTTAACATAAACTTGTGTATATTTGACATCTTAAGCGCAATAAGACATGCCGTGTGACAGCCGCTTTCTGTGCGTGTGCTTCAGATGTGTGCACTCAGAAAACCATATAGCAGAAGTTTAAACAGATATGGCTTTAAAATGCTTGATTTCGGCGCAATAGACATGATAATCAAAACCAAACGGATGTTTATTATCAGAATCTGAGCTGTAAAGGCACGGACGTTTTGCTCAGCCTTTAAGTCATATAAGGACAATAGTGGTTGCAAATATAAGGAAATGCATTTGTCTAATTTTGAGCAGCCTGAATTTTAACAATGCTAAAAGTGGCCAAAATAATTTCAATTCTAAGAGCTTTGTCAATTCATGCGTAGGTTGTTTAAGAAGACATAGCAGCCTTTTGTCATCACATACTGAAATATTTTCGTTCTAGGTCATCAGCGTAATTCCTCGTTAATGGAAATACTCACCTAATTACAAAAAACCGTGTTACAGAAAGGCTACAGTTCCCAAATTATGCATATTAACCTAGGGAATTATGCAGGTGCTAAATATGTGAAATGATGCTAAAGATGCTGTGCAGAAATTTGATCAGATGTTCTGTAAGGTTATAGAGGTGTTGTCATTTTAGTTCTGGGAAAAGCAAATGTATTGTGTATCACATTGACAAAGAAACTCTGACTCTTTGGAAGGTCATACTGAAACTTAAGTCCACGGTTTTCTGATACAGCTCAGTAATATTGATTATATAAGTTCATGGGACATCTTCTGTTGTTGCTGGGGCCCTATAGGCACTAAGGAGTGTTCTACAGATCCACTCAGTTCAGTCCTAGAACATCACATTCATTCTCTGGATCATTCTGTCAGGGAAAGAAGCATTAGCCACCCTTCGCTTCACTGTTCTGAGAGCCGGTGGGCAGACTAGTGAAAGAAAACTGGGTTGATGTCAGTCATTCACTGGTGTGACGATGCCATAAAACACCATTCTGATTTAAATGCATGTGCCACTGCAGATTTTTGAGCCAGGTGGATTTTGAAAGCAGCTTCTAAAAATATTTATATGTTTTATTATTAAGTGTAAGCACAGTTATTGTTGGGAGAAAGGGTGTTTTTCTTAAACACTGTGGGAAAAATCACACCTCGAATGTAGAAATATGTTCAGTCAAAGTAAATCGCATGCACAGATCATTTGTTCAAAAGTGGCAATTAATAGTTCAAAGTCCACTTATGTTATTCTGCACGCTTAAGATAAGATAACATCATTCAGTGTAAATTGTGATAATCGTAGGGAATAATCGACAATTATGATTTTTGCCATAATCGTGCAGCCCTAATTTCTAGTAATAAAAGACAGTTCTTTAAAGGGGTCATATGATGCGATTTAAATTTTTCCTTTCTCTTTGGAGTGTTACAAGCTCTTGGTGAATAAAGAAGATCTGTAAAGTTGCAAAGACTAAAGTCTCAAATCCAAAGAGATATTTTTTATAAAAGTTGAGAGTCAACCACGCCTACCTAAAACAGCTCGTTCTAACATGCCCCCACATGTCTACGTCACGATGTGGGAAGATTTACATAACGCCGCCCAAATGTTCACGCAAAGAAAGAAGGCGTAACTTTTATTCTCGTTGTAGAATTGTTGCTGCCGCCATGTCGTGAATATGCTGTGTGTTTCGTTGTGAAAGCGAAACTACTTTGTTTGGCCTTCCAAAAGAGGACGATGCCCGCTTCGTCAAGCGGAGTCCAGTCCGGGGTCGTCACATGTGATTGCTGCAAGCCCGCCGGCCGCTCCGTTCTCAAGCCCGGCCGCCGTTCCTCACTCTACACTCTTAAAAATAAAGGTGCTTCAAAAGGTTCTTCAAGCGATGCCATAGAAGAACCATTTTTGGTTCAACAAAGAACCATTCAGTCAAAGGTTCTTTAAAGAACCATCTCTTTTTTACCTTTTTATAATCTGAAGAACCTTCTTTGGCCCCAAAGAACCTATTGTGAAACAGAAAGGTTCTTCAGATGTTAAAGGTTCTTTATGGAACCATTTAGACAAAATGGTTCTTCTATGGCATCGTGAAGCACCTTTATTTTTAAGAGTGTAGGCCTCTGGCCACCACTCACTCTAGCCCGCCGTGTGTGAGGCAGTGTGTTTCGTTGTGAAAGCGAAACTACTTTGTTTGGCCTTCCAAAAGAGGACACGATTATAAATCAGTGGTTAAGTTGTATTTACAACACTGTTCCAGAACAGTTCAACACAAATATTCAGATGTGTGCAGCACATTTTATGGAGGACATAAATGTCTTTACTGTCACTTTTAATCAATTTAATGTGTCCTAATTCTGAATAAATAATTAATTGCTTTAATAAAAATCTTACTGACCCCTAACTTTTGAATGGTAGTGTATTTAACTTTATTTGCCCAATAAAATGGTTCCTTGAATCAGCATGTCTCTTCCCATTAATACAACTTTACAATTGCCACTTAATAACAATAGCAAGTAGCAAATCATGGTTTTGTGATGTTAAGTAAATGCTATTAGTAATTTTAAGTCTCTTGATTGAAAATATGTCAACCCAGGAAAGAAAATGACTTTCATCAAATACTTTCATTGGGGTTTTAGTCCCTAGAAGTACCCTCTATATCAGTTCAACAATCATTAATTCATTGTGTACATGGTACATTGAGAGGTCTAGTTAAAGGAGTCAAATAAACATGCAAAGTATTATGTTATATAACACTTTGTTAGTTAAACATTTCAATAGTTTTAAAGGTGAAGATTATCAGATTTTGTCTCTGTTTTGCATTGTAAAGATTGCTCATCTCATTCTGCACATCTCAGTGTTATGGTATATGCGCTTGTGCTGTCAGCAGCACTCTTATTAACAGTAGCCATATTTGTGACATAAGCATATCTCCGGAAGGTCAGCAGAGGATAATTTTGCCTGATACTGATTTATTAGCATGTCACTTAGACAGTGCAATTTATTGTATCATCATTTGTGACTTCTTTTTTTTAAAACTATAATATTACTTACCTATATTATGGTTGATATCTGCAAATCCACTCAATACATAGTAGATAACTTCATAAGGGGTGCTTGTACTTTTGCATGAGTGCCATGAGATCATGCACCAGCTCTTAGAAAGGGCACAGACGCATTTTGCCACCCACACATCCTCCCAACCCGACTTGATATCAGCATGTTCTTTGTATTAAAAGATGACTTTTGGGGTATTCAATGAATGATTTTGTGAGCAGAACAATCAGACTCTTGGTCGTGGACCATTCAGCATTTGTCTGGAAACACAAGGCCACCATTGTGGCTGTAACTGTCACCATTGCCTTGTGTGTGTGAAAAGAGAATGCCCTGAATATCAAAATAAAAGCCTACTCCTTTTATTAGCTTTTATCTGCCCTACATTGTCACCCACATTTGATTAAAAAGTGTGACTCTGACACAGCGCAGACTTGATTGTTCATGTGCATGCCAAAATTATGCAAATAGTGACTAATTTATAGATACATTTCAATGCAGGCGGCTTTAAACAAGTTTTTCCAGTACTCAAGCAGACTAACAGCTTTAATGAATCAACTTAGAGTAAGAGAGAAAGAGTGTTTTATATTCTATTAGACACACACACACACACACACACACACACACACACACACACACACACACATACAGTACATACATTTACGAACTAACCCGAGACTGTCAAAACTACTTAAAGGCTAAATGTCAACATTAGCATATATGCAATGGTAAGCTTAATATATTATATAAGTTGAACAATAATTTCTTACGGAAACTATATAAAAAGAGTTTGTTGATTTTTGTGCTACATTTTCTTTATTTCTCTTTCCTTTGACTCTCATTATAGAAGAACAGGGAGCAATATATGAGAAATTGCCAGTAGGGAGCAGTAGTGCTCTTCATTAAACTTCTTTACAGTACAAGATATTTTCTTATCTTATAAAATATTATGCTATGGTTTATTGTCATCTAATCTATTTCATTACTAGATTTGACTAGAAGTTGAGTCACAATTCTATTTTGTATTATTTTCTTTATTTTTTTTTATTTTTTTTTAATTCAACACTATACTGTTGGGTTTGCTTTTTCATATATGACTCTGGTTTCCCTGTGTTTATCTCAGTCTCTATAATCTTTAAATCTCTTAACACAGTACAGATCAGGACTAGATGAAATACAACTGACATGCTGTTGTCTTTTCTTGTTCCTTAGAGTCATTAAAAGGGTGCCAGCAAAACCATGGACGGCATCTTCTGAATGATCAAAACAATAGACTTTCTATGATAAGAAACACATTAATCCCTTCTTCTACAAAGTAGAGTATTTCCTGTCCATCAGTGCTGGATTGGATCTAGCTATGGGGGATGTGGCTGTATGATTGTGTCTCCATCCACAAGTCTCATGGAATCACCAACAAACAAATCTGAGCTTCCATCACCTGTACTTCCCAAGAGGCCTTCTCAGAGATCTCAGCATGGGATGTGTCTGGCATTACACAGTAGTGAACAGAGTAGCAATGCTTTCACCTCTAAGTCCCCATTGTCATCGTCGTTGACCTTGCTCCTGTACGATAGAGGTGAGACATCACCGGACTCAGTGCGTAGCTTGAGTAGTCTGAGCAGTGCCAGAACAGATAGTCCTCTGGATGTGGACATGCAAGAGGTGGAGATGGGAAAAGCAACAGCCAGCAGTGATGATTCTGGCATACAGAGCCCAGACTGCAGACCAGACTACAGTGAGGACAACGACAACTCCGTGTCTGTGTATCTGGATGCTAATGAAGACTGTTGGAGTGACAATGACAACAACAATGTCACTTTGGTGGTAACACAAAAGGTTGGCCAAGCTGATGGTGATGATACATCCTTGTGCTCTTCAGAAAACGGCGATGATGATGATGACACTGAAGAGGAGGAGGAAGAAGACTCTTTTCTTTCTTTAGCCTCTGTAGAATTAATAATGAAGAGCCAAGTTGGTGTCTCTGATCTGGAAGTCTCTACCAGCTCTGAAGTGGTGATGCCAATCAGTGTTTCACCAGAAGGCCAACAAGCAGAAGTTCCAAACATGGCTGTGGTGAATGAACACCAAAGGGAAGTTGTGTATGAAAACGAGGAAGTTGTGTTGTCTTCAGCCATTCAAGAAACTGATGTCATAAATGAGACAGTGGTGTCTCTTGAAAATACTCCTATAACAGATACCAGAAACATAACTTCTTACATCTCAAAAGAGGAAAACCAGCCAAAGTCCACAGCAAAAAAGACCAGTGATCTGGAAGGACGTGTTTATGCCAAGCCTCCTACAAGGGCTGCTCTGACCAAAGCCACAAAACCTGAGGCGAAGAGGTTCCCCAGGCCAGACCTGAGGAACGTGAAGGCCAAGATCATCTCCAGGGCTGCCTCTGCGCCAAGATCAGCCAATCCCGCAAAAACAAACACTAATGTTAACCAGTCAGCTTCAGGAAGTGTGAAGGTTCATGCTAGTAGGAAGGTGGAAAATAAAGCTGTTGGAACAAGAAGTAGATCATCATCAAACCATACAAGAGGGAAAGAAACAAAGATGGTGGTCAGTGGCGGTCAAGAGAAAGATGTAAACACTTTATCCTTGCCGACGCAAGGAGAAGAAACAATGAAGTCAGAATATCCTCCTTCAATTGATTTTAAAGATGAAGAAGAGCCTCAACTTGAGAAAGAAGCTGGGGAAGAAACCTCTAAGAGCACTAGCAAGGTTAGTGACTGAGTTTTCCCCTTATTCCCTCATGCAGTTTAAGTCGCTGTTTTCTGTTGTAGCTGTTGTTGTTGTGCATAATAATATTGAAACACATTAAAAATCCATTTGTATCTAGGCTATATGAAGGACATATATTTCTCTGGAGGAATTTGCATTTTATATAATTCATGTAGTTTGTACATTTAGAAATGGTTTTACACTTTATTTAAACCATAGGCTACATTTTACCGTTTGAGTATTTATATTTGACTATTTTTAAAACATTTAGTACATTTAGAAAAAGCTTTTATTATTGTTGTTGTTGTTGTTACAACTTTTATTAAGATTTATTAATTCAGATTTTAGGAATACTAAGCCTTTTGTTTTTACAATTAGATTTTTTTTTACATTTTAGTATTGTTATTATTACTTTTATTAATGTGTATTTATTAAAATTGTTGCTATTATTAAAACGTGTATTAATTTGTATTCAGTACATTTACATTTTATATATATTTACTATAATTAAAACCTTTATTACTGATTACATTTAGTTTCATTTAGTAACATTTTTACATTTAGTAAAAACTTTATCAGACATCATCAGGAATTCTAATGAAGCATCCTTTGACTAGTCAAGTAAGTTACATATATTGGGATGGACAGACAGGGTCAGACTGAGACCCAGCCAGGGGAAACTAGAGCCCGACCGATAGGGGTTTTTTGGGGTCCGATACCGATATTAGGGAGTAAAAAAAGGCTAATATTTATATATCGGCTGATATTCTTTGTGTATATTATAGTACAGTACCAGTCAAAAGTTTGGACACTTTCCCATTCGTGTGTCCAATCTTTTGACTTGTACTATATATAGAATACAGTATATAAACAAACAGAATACAGTATATATACATAAACACATTTTTTGCAATGATCACTCAAATGTGGTGATCAAACACATATAATGACATGACAAAGATATGTAATGGAGGCAGGGCATTTAACAATAAACTTTATTATCCAAAATGAATCTGACATCAGTGCAATGAACAGTAAAGTTAAAGTGTATTCAACTTTATTTCATTTCAATTCCATTCAACTTTATTTCGTTGAAATTTATTTCACTTCGGAAAATTCATTCACGGATTTGCGCTACTGTCTTCACACACAGACGAAACTTAATAGAGAAGTGTGACATAATATACCTCTGTAAATAAATACAATTTAAATTTACGTCTCATGCACTTTAATGCCCTTTGAATATAACGTGTATGTTCCCTTGGAACTGGAATCATGGCGAAATATCATGTGAAGTTCACTTCGCAGGGCACTTACGGTCGAATAAGACAATGCTTGAATATCGGCATATTCGCCGATACCGATATATCTGCGACAGGCTCATATCGGCCGATAAAATCGGCAAAACGATATATCGGTCGGGCTCTAGTGGAAACATGTTAACTTTTGATCACCAATGGCAGGAAGTATTAAGATTAGGAAGCATTCTAGATTTACACCCAGGCCTTTTTAGGTTGTTTGTGTCATTTATGCACATACATCCAAATTTTGGTATACTCAAACTGGAACATTCATTTAAACCGACATATGAATAGCAGCTGTCTGATTCCATGTCAATCTTCTCCTCATGAGGAGAGCTGCTTCAACAAGTCCAGCTCTATACGTGTCATCACATGATTGAGCTATGCTGTTATTCAGGCTTAAATGTGTTATTAGGTTGGGTCTAACCAAATGTCAAGAGTAAATGCAGACCTCAAAAAGGTTTTCAAATGTAAACACTGTGATCAGTGGCAAACACAAATATTCATTTGTGCATCAACACCTTGTTTTCTCTATATGTTCACTGTCCAGTCTTACAGCATGTCAGAGTGCTTACACAATTCTACGTAAGTGCTTTTGCATGTTTCTGCTTTACTGTTTTGTTAAGAAACATCTAAAAGCTTAAAATTCCAGTTCCCTCTCTCATTTTCCTGCCTTTTTCAACTTGGTTAGAGAACATGAGTGAGATGTTTTTGCCAATAAAACAACTGTCTTGGAACAGAATGAGGAGGGAAACATTCCTGAGAGGAGTCTGCCTCAAATGAACACTGATTCAGACAACAGAATCTTTCCACAAACTCACTCCATGTGTGTGTCGAGTGTTCAGAAACGAGGGGGAGAAAAGGAAAAGGTCTGGGCTGGTCCTGGTCCTGGCATCAGAAGCCCTGAGGGAATAACACAATAGAAACGTTTTCCCTTTGGTTTTTTCTTTTTTTTCTTCTGCTTTTTGGAGCTGACGAGTCTTATTTCCCCTCCCTCCTTTCCGCTCCTCCTCCCTCTCCTTCTTGCTTCTCTCTCTCTCTCTGTACCGCTGCACATTTTCTATCTGTTCTGTGGAATGGCTAACACTATGGTTAGCCTACGGCGCCCAGAGTTGGGCTCTCTCGCTTGGGATGCTGTTGCTAATCAACAACTCTTTCTCCAGACTGTGTCTTCCAAGTTGGGACCATCTCTAGGGACTAACAGTACCTCCACCTCTGGACCCCCAGAAACCAGACTGAAGCCCTCTAACCGAGAAGCCCGACCCACAGGTAGTCTGGGTCCACCGGGAGGCCGATCGGTTCAGACGGCTGGTGAGTTTTGCTTGTTTAACACTCCACATGCACAGAAGAAAATCTCAAAGGCATTGTTTAAGGAAGTAGGCAGAGTGAACGCTGCAGTGGAAGAGCTTCTAGATTGTTTTCTTCAGTGTAATGTTTCCTGTAAGCTTATACTGATATTGTAAGTGCGATTATTTTACCAGCATCACTGTCACAGTTCAGGTAACTAAAAACTAAAATGTATTGTCTGCCTGATGCACATTTGCAAAATAATTTGACATAGCATAGTTGTGGTTTTTAAATGTGTGTACATATTGTTTTTATATAGAGCTGATTATAATTTCTAAATTCTTTTTTTGTTTCTTTCAATTTAATTTACAAATTGTACACTTTTATTTTTATTACACTACCATTCAAAAGTTTGGGTTTAGTAAGAATTTTTTTTTTTTAAAGAAATTAATTATTTATTCAGCAAGGACACATTAAATTGATTAAAAGTGACAAAAGTGACATTGATTAAAAGTGACAGTAAAATGTTATATTAAAAACATGTATTTTGAACTTTGTATTCAACCAAGAAGATAAATTGTAAAAAATAGTTCACAATACAGATTTACTTTCTGGTCAAATAAATGCAGCCTTGATAAGAAAAAAAAAAATCTTCTAAAAAACGTAAAAAAAATAATAATATCTTACCGACCCTGAAGCTTTTGAACAATGGTGTATATTTTATTATTTAGAATTATTATTATTTATTTATTCCAATAATAAACTAAATATATAATAGACAAAATAAATGATAATATAAGGAAATAATAAAATATATAAGTAATTACCTAACCTCATATTTTTATTGCATTGTGTTTTTTTTTTGCTAAAATAAATAAATCAATGTAATTACTTCATTTATGACTTACTTTTAAAGACGGCCCCAAAAAGGAGGTTTTGTCAGATTTAACTTCTTTATTTTTTGTTCCCCTTAAACATGTTAAAAAACTACTTTTAAAGTGGTCCTCACTATTCGACAGGATCATAAATAAGTTTTTTTTTTTGTTGCTTTAAATCAGCTGTGTGAGAATTAGGTTAGGGGTTTAGCAAATAGAATCACCTCCTTATAAAAACCATTAGGTCTATGAGATGTCCTTACTAGTGAATCCAACATGTGTCTGTGTTATGGAGTGAGCGGGAAGCTGCAGCTGGTGTTAATAAGCCTGCAGAACTCAACACTTCAGTGTCCAAACCTTGCGCAGTGTTACGTAACTCTCCTCTCTGTCTGTGCCCACATGTTCATCATTTAAAGCCAAAACACACACTTGAGTTTTACACTTCACACTTAACTTCAGTTTCCTGTCTCATTTTGTCCATTCATCTCTATCGCTCTTTGCCATTCTCTCTCTTTCCGTTTCTTGTGTGTGTAGCCTAAGGCAGTTTTCCTGTTCTGGTCAGAAAAAGACATCTTATTGTGCTCAGTGTGTGTATGTGTCTATATGTCTATACTTTTGAAAAGTTTTGGGCTGTCCATAACTTAACCTTTCTCTGTGTCATCCCCTTTTCTTTTTCTTTCTCTTTTGCGTGTTTCCTCTTTCTTTAATTACAAGGGGATGCAGGGATATGTTTGGGTGCTTGTGGTTTCAGGGGCCATATTCTATATGTTTGTGTGTGTCATGTTTCAGTGTCAATGAAAAGTAGAATTGAATCAAGCAGAGAAGGTCACATTCCTCCTAGACAATCGTCATCTTGTTTCTCCACAGAGACCACAGGCCCACACTGTGATTTTCGCTCCACAATCTAATAGCTGCCAATCAGGGGAAAGTTTTGTGTTGAAGGATATCTGTTACTGTGGAGTCAGATTCACAAAACACTGCCATTTTTATGCCACCAGGACTACTTATATAATTAACAGGATACAGAATTTTCATTACTTACATTATTTGATAGATGAACTCTTTTTAGTTCCTTATGCAGATGCCATTTTAATATTAAACACTGATTTCATGGAAATAAGTGAGTGATATGCATAGTTACTCTTAAAATCTTTATCAGTATTTTATTATGTTTGCACTTATTAGCTTCATCAAGGTGAACACTGTTAAAGGGAGAAAACAATTGTGATACTTTTTTTTTACACAAATTTTTTTTTAAATAAATTATTATTCTTTATAAGAAGCACACTATTATTGACTTTAAATAAAATTAGTGTGGCTCAAGGATATTTGCTGGTTAAGGACATTATTGTTGTGCCTTCGATATATATTATGATTTCATTGAAAAAGTTTTTAATCAACTTAAAAAAATATTTTGAATTCATAAAAGTGTAATAAACACTACAGTTCAAAGGTTTTCATTTTTTTGAAGAAATGTATACTTTTACTCGTTGATTGATCAAGAGTGACAGTGTAAAGACATTTATAATGTTACAAAAGATTTACTATTTCAAATAAATGCTGGTCTTTTGAACTGTCTATTTGGGAGAGTATCTTATCACGATTTCAAAAATAACAGCTCATATTAGAATGATTTCTGAAGGACCATGTGACATTGAAGACTGGAGTAATGGATGCTTAATATTCAGCTTTGCCATCAGAGGAATAAATTACATTTTAAAATATATTAAACAGAAAACTGTTAATTTTAGTTGTAATTATATTTCACAATATTACCTTATTTTACTGTATTTTATCATTCAATTTTAAGGTACAAATGGCACTGTTTTGTGTGATTGTTTAACCTAATTATTTCTTCAATTAGCTACACAGATTTAGCTGCACCACTGCACCTTTTTTCTGCGTTGTTGTTTGCTTTCCTAATTGTAGATAGTGATGAGTGATCAGATAAATCCACTTGCAGAATAAAAACCCAAAGTCAGACTTCGCCTGGAGGTGAACAAGCAAAATTTAGTACCATGTCTTCTCCAACAGGTGGCATGTATCTCGCTTATTGGCCTCACTGCTGTTGAATTTAGTGCTGTTTAAACACTTATTTCAAACGCATAGGAAAGAGCAGGGGGTTCAGAGAGTGGTTTCTGGACCTGACTCTGGAGAAAGTGAGGAATCTCACTGTACCAGACCAGCAGATTCAAACATACCTGTAAATACAGCAGGTGACATGATGTGTATTTGTGCTGGTTGGTCTCCATAGCAGTGCCCCCAGAAGACCTTACGTTATGTACAGGATGTGTTTGTGTGAGGTGTTTAACCCACTGGAGTCAGAAACAGGATGCAGGAGACACACAAATATTTCCCAGCACACTACTGCACGTTTCACAAAGAAAAAGACACAAACACAACACAAACTTCCCAGATATTGGGTGGTGGTACTTATTTGGTTTTACTTTTTCTACACCTTGTTAAAAAAAACATCAATAAATAACTGTAAATCAGTCAGGATAATCTTTAATCATATCAGTTTGTATGCATTAAAATATTTCATAAGTAATTTTAACATAACAGAATCATCATGCTCAAGATCAGCATGGCTGAATGTACATCTGTATGCTATATAAATAACTGCAGTCTATTAAATAATTTAGTACACTGTGAGGGCAGCTGCCTGAATAGAACTGCTATGAAAACATATCCAGTTTAGCTGGAATATGCTTTGGTATTACTGAAGATGACAAGTAGAATTGATTTATAACTATTTTGTTCTTTTGCATTCAGGCATTCCAAGGATGCGTAGCACAGACAAGTCCACAGTACCCTGCAGTCCCACTTCTGTTTCCAGCCCTTCTTATAAAGGTCCTCAGAAAGCTGCATCTTCCAAACTACCTGTCAAAGGCCTACCCACAAGCCCCAGCTGCTCATCACTGAGAAGTACAATCAGCGAAAGCAATAATATTGCTGTAAACAAAGGTGCGTGTCTGTAAGAGATCAAGTCACCATCTCAATCCTAAGGTTTTTAAGTGCATACTCTTAGTGCTAAAATACATTTGCTCACGCTGAATAAATGTATTAATCGGCACTTTGAAGAAACAAGACATTTACTTGAGATGCAGATGAAACATGAATATACACTAAAGTACTATGGTATTAACATTTGAGAGACACATTTTTTCTGAGCTTTAATAAAATCTTCAGAACTTAGACTGCCCTCATTCCTTTGCTCAGGTCAAAGGTCACGTCTGCTCTGCGTTTAGCAGTGACTGCAGCAACAGTTGTATACAATACCATCTCTGCCATTCCAAAGCTGTGTGTTGTAGACATTAATCACAACATCCTCTGCATGACACCCTCTCTGAATCATGATTAGTTCATTCTCACACACTCCTGTATACTCTGAGCACAGTATACTCTGAACTTACATTCAAGAATAATCAAGATAGCCACTGAGTTGTCATGGTAACTTGGAGAAATGAGATCTAGTTTCAGTAGGAATACATGTGATAAAGAATAAACAATAAAGGTTTTCAAAGTAAATTCACAACAAAATGGCCCATAAATATTGAAACAAAAGCCTTTTATTTGAATCTACTTCCGGAAGGCCAAATAAAGTGCTTTTGCTTTCGCACTGAAATACACAGCGTCTCCCTGACATGGCTGGTCCTGAAACCACGCCTTCTTTCTTTGCGTGCACATTTGGGCGGCATTATGCGAATATTTCCACATAGTGACGTAGATGTGGGGGCGTGTTAGAACTAGGCGTTTTAGGTAGGCGTGGTTGACTCTTAACTTTTATAAAGAATATCTCTCTGGATTTGAGACTTTAGTCTTTGCAACTTTACAGATCTTCTTTATGCACCAAGAGCTTGTAACACTCCAAAGAGAAAGGAAAACTTGAAATCGCATCATATGACCCCTTTAATATCTTATGCAATTGTGCTTTTTAGGTATATGTATAATTTTCTAGAAGTGTTGGCATTTAAAACAAGATAAAATGCTAATTAAGAATAATGTTTTTTGCATTGTACACAATATTGTTTTATAATGTGATGTGATGATTTCTCTTTAACCAGTTCCTGCTGAGGGGATAAAGAGTGAGGAGAAGTCTATCAAACAATCACTGGCATCCCAGATTCAAGGAAAGTGTCTAGTTAGCAAACCTGTATCAGGGCACCGCAGCAGAACGAGCTCCACACCGTCTAAACCAGCGGCAGGTGGGAGAAACATACATACATGTGTCTCTAGCAGCACCCACATTTGCTTTCATATATTTAACAGAGTCCACATTCATCTGTCTCTCATTATTTATTATTTACTCATCAAAACTCAAAGGGAATCTCACTCTCCTGTCGTTAAGAGCATCTATAAACATTAATCAGTGGGAAAGCTCTGAATGTCTTAAACTAATGACACTGCAATTAGCAGTCCTTTGATATAATTTTACCACAATAGGATTACTACCATATACCCCTCTTAATAGGTTTTAAAAAATGTAAATACCCTAATTCGTTACTGGAGTTTGTGTATAGTTCCATTCTTTTTTTATGCCAACAGCAACTGATATAAATAGATCAGATTAGCTTTTTTATATGGAAAGTTAATGCAAATCATGCACAAAACATTGTTTAAAAATAGTCATTGTTATCATTGAAACAAGTTAAAACTGACCCTATATGCAAAATTGCAATAAAATATGAAAATGCTTTTGAGAGAATATATCTTGGATATATTACTGTATATCATGTGGCACCAGTAGATAAAAAAAATCATTTAATTAGTAAGGTCTGTAAGATGTTTTTGAAAGTATTTTTTTTGAGCAAGCACACATTAAATTGATCAAAAGTGACAGTAAAGACAGTTATAATGTCACAAAAGATTTATTGAAATAAATTATGTTCTTTGGAACTTTATATTTATTATATATAATTAATGTTTAATCTATTATATATTTATAATAGATGAAAATGTATCATGGTGTAACGGAGCCGATGAGACAAGAGGCATGCGGATCCATATTCAAGCTTTTATTTACAGGCAGGGTCAACACAGGAAAGAGTCGGACACCAGCAAACAGATATGTAGAGGGCAAGACAAATGAGGAATCCAAAACAAGCAATAATCCAATCAAGGTTCAAACACAGTCCGAATCAGCAAGGCAAAGGGTAAATCCAAGACAGGCTATAAACTTCAGGGCAGGCAGAAATCAGACAGGACGAGATAACAGGCTAGGATCAAGACACGGGAAAACAGACTATGAACAAGGCTAGACTCATGAACTTGGAAGGGCTCTGTAAAGTAGCTATCCCTAGGTGAGCGATAAATGCTGAATAATACTCGGCCTTGAATGGTGGTGTGAGACTGATTTATATAGTGTGTGTTATTGGTAGCAGCTGTGTGTGATTGGATTCAGGTGAGCTTGTGATTAGTGCAATGGAGCATGGGAAATGTAGTCCAGGGTGATGTGTAACAGTCTGTGTGGTGTGAGAGTCAATATAATGGGAGGGCGACCTCTGGTGGCAAGCAGACGGAAATTCATGGACATGATTCGTGACACATGGCTTCCACAAAAATATTAAGCAGCGCAACTATTGATAATAATAAGAAATGGTTCTTTAGCACCAAATCAGCATATTACAATTATTTCTGAAGGGTCATGTGATACTGAAGACTGAAAATACATTTAAAATTTATTAGAGTTATACAGTTATTTAAAATTGTATTCATATTTCACAATATTACTGCTATTATATTTATTATTATTATTATTTTATTTATTTATTTTATCAAATAAATGCAGTCTGGGGAGCATAAGAGACTTCTTTCAAAAACATTAAAAAATCTTATAAACCCCACATTTCTGAATGGAGTGTATTATGCACAAATCAAGACAAGATATTCCTTAAAGATGCCTAAAGATTGCAAGACTGATTGTTTATAGTTAATACTGATTGCCTTGCTAATTGCTTTGAATTATGAGGGAGGATTGTTAAGGTTTCTGTCCCAGCCGTTGCCATAAATACACTCATGCATCTACAACCTCTACAGTACATCTGACTCTGCCACTGAAACCTGCCACTGCGCAGTCTGTTAACATGAAGTTTGATTTCTTCTGCACTATTTCATTAGGGCCGAAGGCCCCAGCTGTGACCAGCCACGTGACAGCTAAGACCAACCAGAATGCTTTGCAACGCAGTGGATCTGCGCGACTCATTCGCTCATCATCAGTAGCAGGTAAGGAGAGAGAAAGTTTCATAGTGTGTGTGTCCATATCCATATACGCTCTACCACTGCTGAATTGTCAAAAGCTTCAACTGTTTGTATCCTTGCTATCACTAGTCATCACCGTTTCACTTCCAAAATTTGAAGTGTTTTGTGAAGTAGGTTTAATTGTGGGTTTAATTCATGCACTGTGCTACATTTTAGAAATAGACAGTTTGGTGGTTAATCAAAATGTAAATATGGCCATAGGATATAAAAGTTATAGAATGATTGAACAGTGGATTCCTCTGTATCTGTGCTCATGCATTTCTCTCACACACATGTGATACAGTGGCAAAAAAGTATGTGAACACATTGGGATTAGTCGTTTTATTATGTTAATTTGTTATAAAATGTCATCTGATCACCATTAGTCACAAGTATTGACACGCACAATGTGCTTTCACTAAAAGCACACAAACAGTTATACTATTTCATGTGTTTATTGAACAGATCCCATTAAACATTCACTGTGGAAAATGTAAGTGAACTTTACGTTGTTGATGTTGATGATCTGAATGATCCACAACTGTTTTTTTGTGATGAGTTTCATGAGTTGTTCATGACTCACTTGTTTGTTCTGAGCAGTTAACTGCCTACTCTTCTTCAGAAAAATCTTCCAGGTCCTGTACATTCTTTGGTTTTCCAGCATATTCTTCATAGTTGAACCCTTTACAACAGTGACTATGATTTTGAGATCCATCTTTTCACACTTAGGACATCTAATGGAGTTATACACAGCTATTACAAAGGGTGAAATCATTCACTGAAGAAAACATAAAAATGTATTTATTCATAGTAATGAATGTGATTTGAATCATTTATTGTCTGCTAAAGGAAGGCAGGTTCATGAGCAAAAGGTGATATTTATTTATTTGTATTTTTATAAAAGCATTATAGAGTACTAGATAACCCCTTGGACCCTTTTCACAAGACTGTGATGACGCATTTAACAGTCATCAGCATCGTAAATCCTCGAAAGTTTTTCATATTTGTTTTTTTTTTTTAATGTATGTACATTTATAACACTATAATTTGTATTATATCACCTTAGCATCAAATTACAAAAAAAAACAGCTAATGCGAGGGTGTTTCTAATGCAGCGTCTATGGGAGGGATGGTAAATTTGACATCGTTCTCTCTTCTGACTGCCGTTATCAGTCTCTCTCAATTTTTTTCCTTTTATTGAAAGTCATGAGAACACTATCTTGGAGTTTTTTTTTTTTGTTGCTATTTGGGCAAATGGGAATGCAAAAAATATATTTGTGGTACTCTCCCATTCACTGCTCTTCAAGTTAACCCAACTATGATGACTTCCGCTGCTGAGAAACCCGGAAATGTGAAAAAGGTCCATCGCCTTTTTTAACCTTGTAGCACTATGTGTGACTTTCTCTGCAGTGTTTCTTTGCAGAAATGCCACAGACATCCTCAAGCAAAAATTCCAGTCATATTCACAACAAGTTGACCCAAGCAGTGCACGTTTCTTGGTATTTCTGGCCTTTCCGTCTTGTTTTACTTACAAACAACTAACAGAATTTTTGCCACAAGCGACAGCTCCTCCCCTTGATTGTTGCTAATTTATGTTGCTCTGGCTATGCAGCTATTGGCCTTTAGAGGTGAATAGGGAAGCACAGTAGTGTCAGAACACAGCCGTTCATGTGCTGCTTGACTTCTTTCTATTCAACAATGTCACTCATCAGTATTCTGAGGCACTTGTTTCTCTCTCTCTCTCTCTCTCTCTCTCTGTTTCTTTTTCTTTATCCAACAAAGGCATCCATTCAGGAAGCCTGCTGCTTGGAAGATACATAAATGTTAAATAGATATCTCAGAGAAGGCACCTGAAAAAAAGGGAAAGAAGAAGAATACAAAGGAAGATGATGACATGAGGCAAGATTAGGGACTAATAAGAACTTTATACCTATGAAATATGAAAAATGACCAAAAAAAAGACCAATGTCTTTGAATGAGAATGTAGGATTTCAGTGTTCAAATATTTACTAAAATGAATTAGTTAAAAAAATCTTCACCAACAGATCGAAATTCTGACGTCATTTTCTAACCCACATGTCATTTCTAGTCTGTATGACTTTATTACTTCTATGGTACACAAGACAATTATAAAATAAATCAATATTATATATTTATTTAAATATTATAATTGATTATTATTATTATTGCCCATATAATGAAAGTTATAAAATAAATAAATATTTATATAATTATTATTATTATTATTATTATTATTGCCCATATAATGAAAGTCAGTGGAAACCAACATTGGACTCCATTAGCTTTCATTATTTGGTGAAATTCTGTCATCTAAGCGTCTTTTTTTTTGTATCTTGTATTTTAAATATGTCTTGAATTAAGAGGCAATTCTTACCTTGTTGGTGTTTTTTCTTGTTTTAAGCAAAAACCTCACCAAATTGTGTTGCATTCAAAACCATTAAAGGAGAGAGTGAAAATAAATACACAGTTTTGCTTCTCAAATAAATGTATTTTGTTTCAAGGAAGTTTAAATATTTTATCAATGAAAATACTGATTAAGAAAAAATTTTTGCAGTGTAATTGTAAATCAGTAGCTATAATCTTCAAATGCAGCATCTTTCATCCTCACACCATAATCATACCCATACTGTAGCCAAGAGAGAGGGAGTGACAGAACGATGTTACTCATAAACCACCTACTCCCCGCTCTGTGCAAACTCCCTCCCCTTCCCTCTTACATTGCCTCTCCCCCTCCATCCCCCCTTCTGAGTGCACTAGTGTGTGTGTGTGATGCTACAGAGAGCTTGGCTTCAAGTGTGCGTGTGTGTGTGTGTGTGTGTGCATGTGCAACACACATAAAGGATTAGCGTGTGCACATTTGCAAGAGAGAGAGAGAGAGAGGAGGAGAATATATGAGACACTGGCTGGTTCAGCATCCAAGAGGATACCGCTGAACAGGGTGGCCGTTCCCACGAGAACTACGCATCATTCCCAATCCAATCTTCATCGTCAATTTGGTGTTTCTGTAGCAGTATCATTTTTTTTTTAAATTTTTTGGAGAGATTTGGAGACTATAGCAAAATTTAGTATTATTTTTCCCCAAATTTTTCTTCTTTTTCGCAGTTTTTTTCTCCGCCTCTTATTTGGACACTGGAATGTGACAGAGACCATAAGATTTTTTTTATGTAGTGAATTTTTATTTAATATTTATTTATTTTTTTGTTAAAAAAAAATTCAAGAAATTTCTTGATTTTTTTATCCCCCTATATTTTGTGGAGGATTTCCTCTCCTCCTTTTAAACGTTGAAGGTCATGTTATGGTCTCCGAGACTTTCCCTATCAAACTTCCACGTGAAGCTCACGGCTAAAGGACTATTCCGCAATCTCCAGCTACTGCCGGGATGCAAGAAGACCACGGTGGTCTTCCATGCAGGTTGGGGAACCTCTCCTTTCCCTTCCTCCATCTCTCAATCTCTCCCTTCATCTCTCCCTCACCATACGCCCCTTCCCCCTCCCATATTTCTCCTTTTGACACCCGTCTCTTCATAGTTACCGTTGTTCCATCCGTGCTTTGAGGAACATGTGACAGCCTTCACTATTGTTTCTTTTAACAGAAGATGCTTACAAAGAATCGTGTATGTTTGTGGGTCTGCGTGTGTGTGTGTAATGTAGTGAAAGGCCTGATCGCGTGATATTTAGTGAGTGATGCTCGTGCCAGAGGGCACCATGTGCAGTGCCATAAATAGAAACTGCTAGCTGTGTTTTTAATATGTTTATCTGTGCTGGCTCTGCATCCTTTTATTCATATGTAAACAGCACATTTACATAAACAAGGGGAACGGTATATATTGATTTTTGTGCTTGGAGTAAATAAAGCACAGATTGATGTGATAGTGTGTGTGTGTGTGTGAATATGGTAAGGGTTCAGCTGATTGCTAGGATGTGTTTCTGTGTTTTCAGATGCACATTTTATGGTTTAATTCTCTACTAAATTCTCCACCACCCTCCTTCTTTCTGTGTCAGATGTGAATTTAGGTTAGGGTTCATGTAAGGGTGGTTTCTGCCTAACTGTCCGTCCCTCTTTCTCTCTCTTTCTGTGAATCTGTTGGAGGATTTCAGTCATGGGGATTAATAGGAATTTCTCAAAAAATGTAGTTCGTAGTTTTCTTGCTGAGGTCTGCCTTCTGTTACTCTTACTGAGCTAATAAATAATTTTACATTCATCAAGTGTTGAATATCTCTATGATAGGTTTATAGTAACTGTTGCTTTGTCAGCTCAAGTCTGTCAGTATATTACTCCAGTGTTCGTACAATTTTGAAAAAATTTTGGTTGAGTCAAGGACATGTCTGAGTCATATTCACTCCAAAATCTATTTTATATATACGTATATATATGTGACCCTGGACCACAAAACCAGTCTTAAGTCGCTGGGGTATATTTGTAGCAATAGCCAAAATTACATCGTATGGGTCAAAATGATTGATTTTTCTTAGGATATTAAGTAAAGATCATGGTCCATGAAGATATTTTGTAAATTTCCTACTGTAAATATATTAAAACTTAATTTTTGATTAGTAATATGCATTGCTAAGAACTTCATTTGGGTAACTTTAAAGGCAATTTTCTTTGCACCCTCAGATTCCAGATTTTCAAATAGTTGTATCTCAGCCAAATATTGTCCTATCCTAATAAACCATACATCAATGGAAAGCTTATTTATTCAGATTTCAGATTATGTATAAATTTCAATTTCGAAAAATTGACCCTTATGACTGGCTTTGTGGTCCAGGGTCACACACACACACACACACACATATATATATATATATATATGTGTGTGTGTGATATATATATGTGTGTGTGTGTGTGTGTGTGTGTATTATGCATTTAATTAAGATGATTATTAAAAGTATTAACTGTCAATATAAAAAAAGTGTCATTCAAATAATTATACAATAAAAGAATTCATTTCTTTATGCAAAAAAAAAAATCACATACACTTTTTGTTTTCCTTCTTTTTCTATTTTATTTATGGGTAGAATGTGACCTGGATATGTTCACAAATATTATCTCTCTAGTACACCAGTGGTATAGGTATGACAGTCACAATACTCTCCCTCATCTTTTGGAAGACACAGTGGAAAATTCCAGAATATTCTTGAACACATACATTCAGAGTGCAGCATCTCCTCGTAGTTGTCTCCATAGAAACTAGCATGCTGGATCATGTGGTGCTGTTATCTACAGACCTGATATATGTGACCTGAACAGCCGGTGTGAGTGAGTGTGTGAGTCTGTGAGAGCATCAGCAGAGAGAACAGTTTGTACATACCAAATGCTCCTGCACACACTGTACGAGATACTCGTTCAAATTAATCTTCATCTGAGAACACAGCCTCTCTAATCAGAACAAATGCACTGATTTTAGAGATGTAATGTTGTGTGATATATATATGTGCCAAATGCACAGGGACACAGTGTACTCAAATTGGGCCAGCAAACTCAGACATTCATTACAGCCTTCATTTTTTTATCTATTTATTCATCTGGATTTGATGGCTTGCTTTGGACTGGTAGTTTTCATCCCTCATCATGCGATTTAATCTAAACACAGCCGTTGGCCTCATTCTTATAATTCCAATCCAGATTATTTATTTATTTATCCTTCTCATTCTGTGTGTATCTCAATGACAGTGTGTGCACGAGGAAACTCTAAAGTACTTTTTTTTTTTCAATTTACAGTGTAGAAACATTTCTTGTTGTAAAATATGTCCTTGTTGTTGTTATTTTGTTTTTTTTTAAGTGAACTGTGCTATTCATTTCTAAGTGACGTTTGTATACAATTTCTGTTTAGAGAATGATTAAACAAGTGAAAAATATTACTTAGATTTACACGTAACGATAGGGACCAGAGACATGGTGGTGGGCACTACTAATTTGTGACAATAAGCAACCATCATGTTCCTGAGTTTGGGTGGAAACAGGAGATCCCAAGTCTTTAATATCCGAAGGGATCCACAGAAAATCCAAATGCATGTGTGTTTTTGTGTGTGATCACACTTATCCTCTTCAGATACTCCCTTTGACTTTCCAGTGAGCCAAAGCCCTTGCCTATACCCCATTCCTAACATTCATATCTAAAGAATTAATAAACAATAAACTAAATAGTTTGGTTTGAGGTTGTGATTATGGTGGTATGTCATTTTACCACAGGCCCTGGATGTCGCTCTCTCTGTGCAGCAGCCTGGCCGCTTTCTGTCTGTCTTTCCAGCCATGCTCGGATAGGTAACACCACCAAACTGTCACGAGAGATCTCATTTAGTCATCTTCCAGTCATTTAGAATGGGAAATATTTGCTCCATAGCTATATAATTTGAATAGTTCAACACAAACAAAAATAGTGCATGGTAAAAATTTTGTCATAAGGTAGAGTAAAATTACATACAAATTACAAAATACATTAACTGCTTTCTCTAGTCAAAATCGTTATTTGATATGACTGAATCAACCAACAAAAGTAATTTACTATTTTTATTTAACCATTTATCATTTTAATACCATGTTTTTGGACATGCTCCAAAGAATATATGATATTCTATGATATCCCTGTTGAAAAATCCAGCATATGCTGGTTGATATGTTTTGAAGCATGGCTGCTGGTTTGAGCTGGTTTAAGCTAGTCATGTGCTGGTCCTGAGCAGGAGCTAGTTGCTTAGTACCAGCACATGACCAGCAGCCATGCTTCAAAACATACCTAACCAGCATATGCTTGTTTTTTCAACAGGGATACCAGATTTTTTCACTGTGTCGTGGTACCTTCATAGTACTTTTTGTTCACTGTAAGGATTTTTAGGAGGGTCATTTTAGGTTGAATAACAACAAAAACATATAGGTAGACCTGAATTTAACTAAATTAACAAAACAAGAGTTTGCTTATGTAATATTTACAGTACTATTCAGTGCATTTTTTTTAAAGGAATTAATACTTTTTATTCACCAAGGATACATTAAATTGATCCAAAGTGTCAGTAAATACTTTTACTTTCATATAAAAATAAATTTTTCAAATAAATGCTATTCTGTTAGACTTTCTATTTATCAAAGAATCTTGTAAAATGCATCACAATTTCCACAATATTAAGCAGCACAACTCTTATTATTGTCAACATTGGTTGCACAAAATTACTGTGTTTTGATCAAACAAATGCAGCCTTGGTGAGCTTAAGGTGTATCATTAGACAGTTTCCTCTTGCTAGATGAAACTATGTCACATTTAGATTGAGAAGATGTGCCGTGATGTGTTTGAATGTGTTTGGTCTCCTTTTGAATGTGTGGCACTGCTTCTGTCTAAGTGACATAATTCTTTCCATTAAGCAAAACGCTGAAACGTTTATTCAGGCTTTCCTTCAGAGCGGGTGCATAATTTCCTCATCTGCCTTCCAGTAATTATGTGGAAGAGTGGAAGCCTTTATTTTTTTTCTTTGGAGGCTTGCGGTTTGCTGGTTGTATGATTGTGTGTGTGTGATGTTTAATCTTGCAGTGTAATGAAAAGAGGATTGCTGAGAAAAACAACAGCATCAAAGGAGCACCACTCTGTCTGTTAGCATAACCATGAACATATCCGGCCTGGGTGTGGACACGCTTGACGAAGCTTGTGTTTGGACGCCTGTGGTTGAGCCCTACTCAGTGTGTATGTGTGTGGTAACTAGCTACGGTCTGTCTCCAGTGGAGTGTTTGGGGGACAGCAATCACAGCATGTCTCCTGTCACGGTAGACCATCATAAACACTTATTACGAGGCCTAGACTGCTCACTGATTACATGCTACTTATGGACTTATCGTGTTCACACAGAGATGCACACACAAGCAGAGACTATGTACACTATCCTTTATTTTACATAGCATAGTGATTACGTTTAATGATTTTGTAATCTAGTAAAGCCACGTTCTCTATACTGTACACCTAAGTTCATATATATATATACAGTATATATATATATATCTCAATATATATATAAGATTTAGTTTACATTACAAAATGTAATATATGGGCAAATAAAACATTTGAGGTAGTGTTACTTTTTTTTTTTTTTTTTTAGATATTTACATATGTATTTTGTCAATTTCAGAATTTACAAGAAATGGCCAAAATATAATCTAAAATTGAAAATGATGTATTTAAAATACATTTTGTTTGATATTTTATTTATTTATTTATTTATTTAGAAGAAAATATATGATGTAAACAGTCATTTTTACCTTTTTAAAGGTTTGGTTTAAATTACAAGATGCAATATGGGGCAAATAAAACATTTGAAATAAAGCTACATTTTTTAAATGTTTTTTCAGATTTTGTTAAATTTTAGAAGGTACAAGAAATGGACAAAAATATAATATTAATAAAAAACTAACATTAATATATGTGCCATTTAAAATTGTTATTTTTGGACATGTTCCATGGTCATTTTAAAGAGTACCATGGCATATAAATGTGGTAATCTTTCCATAGCATGGTATAGGCCTATATAAAAGTTATCACTCAATACCACAATAGAACCACTGCACAGTTTTGTAAGGGTATTGGGGACAAAAATCTGTGCCACACTGACATCCATAGTAGCGGATTATCCGAGGTCAGCAGTGATGTGATCAGAGCTGATGACACAGTCCTGTGGGGTGGCAGATTGTGCAGATGTGGTCATGTGACCACAGGCAAGGGCACTGTTCAGCACTGAGTTACAGTTATATAAGGACATTACATTTCATCTCAAAGCACACATATTCCCTCACATCCCACTGAGCCAGAAAAAGACTGCAGCAATCTCTCTATTTCAAGCCTGTGTTTAAATAATGTAACAGAGACATTCGTCAGAAGTGATCTTTGCGTTATACATAAAGACTTCCAGGTTTAGAAGAAAATAGTTTTTGTATTAGGTATAAAAAAGAAAGAGGAAATATCTGACCAACGAGCATTTTAATGATTGGACATTTATCATAAATAGGATAACATATTTCTATTTATTTGATTGGATAAAATTCATAGTCGAAATAAGAAAAGATTAGACATTTTTTTTATTAAATCCACAACATGCCTACTGAGGGTTCTTATTCTTTGATGCACAAAGCAGAAGAGAACAAAGATAATAATATTAATAGTGTGTGTATTTGTGTGTGTAATTTCTACAAGCGGTTGACATTATATTGATATTTTGACACTTCACTTCAAAAAGTCTCCTTTCATTAAGAGTGATCAATTATTTGTAGATGATTTGTTGTGTAAATTAATTTCTACAAAAGCTATACGAAGCTTGAAAGCATGCTCTAAGGGTCAACTACAGTGAAAATATATCTGCCAGCAGGGGGCATCAGAGAGACTCTCTGATTCATGGAAGGTGATTTAAAGGGATAGTTCACCCATAAGTGAGAATTCTGTCATCATTTCGCACAGATCTTACCGCTATATTCAACGGCATTCAGTATTCAGCCTATTCAGAGTCTATTCAGACTATTCAGAGTTTTCTGAAGCCATACAGCATACAGTGATGACTAGGGGTGAGAAGATTCCCTCGTTTTCTCAACAAATCTTGCTAATGCATATACAATGATTTTGAAACATAGATTTTTGAATCATGAATCATTTCTTTTGATCAAGAATCTATTTAAAATGCTGTAAATGATTCTGTAAAGTATCATTCAATATTTGTAAATATATAAACATTACAGTTTTTACATAAGCAGATTATCGGAGACATACCGTTGTTTGCATATAAGATGCTTTAGGAGCAGCATTTACATAATCCCCTATGCACTTAAAAATTACAGAATTAAATTACATCTCATTGTGAATCGGACTGAATCAAATCATTCGGAATTTACAAAAATCTTTCCTTAAATACACAGCTCAACTAGTCAAGGAAGACCGACGGTGGAAGAGGAAGAGAAAGATCTTCGTCTTCAAAATGAGAAGAAAAGTCAATGCATCCTGCATCTCCGTAAACTCATCGTTAACGGCAATCGGCGACTAGAAGCTCTCGCCCTGGTTGTGCAGCACATCTTCAGTGAGGTTGGAGAACTTTACTGTTTCATTTTTTGTCTTTTGTCTTTTTTTGGCTAGATGTTTCTTTGTCAGGTTTACTCCCCATTCATTTTCTATTTTTCTTTCTTGCCATGGTTTTAATATATAGATATTCAGCATATTACTGATTTTTGCCAAAGTGGTCTTTGGCAGAGAGCTGTACAAAATGGTGTTTTATATATCTAATTTATCATCATTTAAGATAATTTAAGAATACAGCAAAAACAGTAATTTTGTGAAATGTTTTTGCAATTCAAAATAACTTTAAAATGTAATTTATTCCCATGATGGCAAAGATGATTTTTCAGCAGCCATTTATCTAGTCTTCAGTGTTGCATGATCCTTTAGAGATCATTCTAATATGCTGATTTGGCGCTCAAGAAACTTCTTCTTTTTAGCAATTTTGAAAACAGTTGTACTACTTAATGTTTTGTGGAAACCAACAGAAAGATCAAAAGTCACACAAATCTTTTGTGACATTTTAAATGTCTTTACTGTCATGTTTTATCAATTTAATACATCCATTGCTAAGCAAAAGTATTAATTTCTTTCAGAAAAAAACTGATTTGAACTGTAATCTGTTTAACATGAGACATATCTTATATAATGAAGTCTTGACTATTCAAATAATCTTCAATCAAGAGATCTTTGTTCCTCTGTTCCATTAGTCAGATTATAATTGCAGGTATCTCAAATTATCATTTCATCCTTTGAAAATGTAATTGGGTATGATGCAATTACAAACATCTGAAATGTAATTATGGATAATCAAGCGTACTACAAGGGCTTGTCATAACGTATGTGCCTGTCTGTTTTGTCTACAAAAAAAAGGTAAATAGGAAATGTTTCATATGGTGGTACCATTAACCAGCATTTCCAGGTGTGTTGAAACTAAGAGGGCTCCAGGGGGGATGTTCTCTCACATTCACTCTAGATGTCATGCATTATTTAGGTTAGTCAATAAGCCAAGTTTGACCTAACCCCTTCACATGATCTCTTTGCAACCCACCGAAACACAGGTTCTTCTATTCATTCATGCTCATCGCCATCAGATCCACACGCTACTGGGCCTCTTTAGTTCGATGTTGCACTTGTGCGTTGATCTCCCTCCTTTAATTTACTTCTTCCTTTTCCACCATTGTTCTGGAAATGGAATGTGGCTTCAGCGCAGCTTCGGTAGCGACTCAACTTGCACAATATAAGTTGAAGAGGAAACAGTTGGCCTCTTTGGGGTCTCTGACTAAATGTCAGAGCCATCAAACTCTATGTATACAGCCTGGCATGATCAAATATCTGGGAGTGTCTGTAAAAGCCCTTTATTTGGTGATTGGCTGTATCCTGGATACAGACTTGCCACAGTGCTAATCTCCATTCACCTTCTTTTGGTTTGCAAATATTTGCAGATCAAAGGAGCTGTCAATCAATTACTAGGTGTAACTAAGTATTTAAGGATTCCCATTGGTCTGAATAAATCAACCATGAGGTAAACACTACCAAAAACAATAGTAAGATAGTAAGTCACAGATTTTTATTCTCTTAGGATGTCACAGAAAATTGTTGATAAAACAGAAATTACAACTAAAGGGGTCATATGATGCGATTTCAAGTTTTCCTTTCTCTTTGGAGTGTTACAAGCTGATTGTGCATAGATAAGATCCCTGAAGTTGCAAAGACTAAAGTCTCAAAACCAAAGATATATTCTTTATCAAAGTTAAGACTCTGCCACGCCCCCCTAAAACGGCTCGTTCTAACACGCCCCCACATATCTAGGTCACTATGTGGGAATATTTGCATAATGCGCCCAAATGTGCACGCAAAGAAAGAAGGCGTGGTTTCAGTAACCGCAGTTAGTGTTGAAGCAGCATGTCAGGGAGACGCTGCGTGTTTCTAGGAGAAAGCAAAAGCACTTTATTTGGCCTTCCGAAAGTAGATGCATTTATTCAGTCATTTTTTTAAATGTTAAGTCTCAGGTATTTAGTTTGTCTAATCAGTAAAACTTAATAATTAATCACCGGCATTGAAATGTCCTTGCCACACTGCTCACGGCTTATTGAATGCCTTTTTTAATGCTTTAACATCTTGTTAAGAAGTTTCTCAAATGTTTGTGTAGACCAGGGGTAGGCAAGTTCGGTCCTAGAGAGCCACAGTCCTGCAGAGTTTTGCTCCAACCCTAATCAAACACACCTGAACAAGGTAATCAATGTCTTCAGGATTACTAAAGCTATAGGCAGGTGAGGTTTTTTTCAGGGTTGGAGCTGAACTCTGCAGGACTGCGGCTCTCTAGGACCTAACATGCCTACCCCTGGTGTAGACTAATAGACCACTATCCACTATCGCATACAGACTTACTTAAGTCTTAAATACATCCAATTATACAATGTCAGCTTTGATCGTTCTGAAACCTCTGTGTGTGAGAGTGAAGTTTCAAACCTACTGTTCATTTGATTGGGGAGTTTAGTAACACCCTACCGTTTTGCGTATTGGTTTATCTGACAGAGTAGGTTTGAGCGTAATCCCGCCCTCATGGGCCCTGAGGCAGAACCACTGACAGTAAAATCATCTAGATGCACAATGTTGTACTGAATTATACACTAAACTGTCTGATAATGTGTGATCATCTGAAGGCATGAACTGTCTTGTATTTCCTCCATGACTGGCTGTAATAGTTCTCGATTTTGAATGTTGAAATTGATTGAGGCCAGAGAGGTAAAAGCCTGCAAGAAAATACAAATGTAACATCCACTCAAATAGAAGTGAATTAAGATATTAGAGATTATAAAAGATATTAGAGATCATAAAAAGTACACCAGAATGGACTGGTGCAGATAGGTTGGAGAAAGTACTGGCCCACTGACGGCAGCCAAAAAAGGCGTTCAAGACTGTGACAACAAATATTTGTTCTTTGAAATAATGTGCACCCATAAATCATTCACAAGACTAGGAATGTGTATTAAGAAAGTGAATAGGGTCAATTTTGATTTCATGTTGACTTTACATTTACTCTAATCTGCCTGATCTCATATCTAGGTAAACACTATTAGCTAGGTTTAAAGTTGGGAACTTAAATAGGCTTATGTGAGCTAATGTTAGTGTAACTATGTTAATGGGTTACTCAATGTGCACCCCACACCCAGTCTAGTAATCTTCACCCCAGGCGTACAATTAAACCCAGAATCCCACAACTTACTTACTTACTTACTTTCTTTCTTTCTTTCTTTCAAATTTCCATTTTAGCATTCTCATTCCACGCATTCCTCGGTGTCCTATATATAATGCAAATTTGTCATCTTATCTCCTTATCTCTCAATAATAGCAAGCCTTCCCACATCAATTCTTCTTATCAAAAATTAAACAGCTTAAAAAAAACACCTAGGATACTTCACTAATTTTGCACCTCTACTCCAGAAACCCCACGTACTGTCTAGAAAACACAAATCTTTCACTTTCTTTCCACTCATGAAAAAAGGGAGACTTTACTTTGGGGAAAGTTGACCATTTTAGCCCTTGTGTCACCCACAGTGATTGATAGTGAGCACAGAGGAGGTGGGATGTTGCTGTGAGGAATGCACCAGCTGCTGTTGAGTCCCAGGGGGCGGGGTTTGGAGAAGGGGTGTGGTTTATTTTCCCACCTCACTGCTGTTTGGCTGATAACAGTAGAGCAATGTTTCTCTGTAACCCACCCACCACTTTGCACTTTTACCATATTTCATAGAATATAATTACATGGTATTTTTTGACTATTTTTTTATGGAAAATACCACTGTGGAAGTGTCTACTAAAAATGTTATATTTCAAGTAAAACTAGTTCAAATTAAATTTGTTCAAGCACATGCAAATGGGTTGTTTGCTTGTGCTTGAACTGTCATCAAAACTATTGCATATGGATTTTATTAAAATCTAACTTTGAGCAAATACCTCATTACTTTTTAATTGAATCATTTCCCCCCTGTCTAATTACTCATTTGTTCTGATTCGTCATGTATTTTTCTTACACAACTTTGCAGACCTGTGGTCTTCTGCCATGTAACGGTTCCCATGTTGACCATAATATTATATAAGCTCCAATACACCAAGCACGATCTCATTTATAGAACAGCCATGTTATGTAACTCTGATATCACCTTTGGACTTACTTCTTGTACCCTGGCAAAATGTGATTCATCTATTATTTTGGTCTCAGCATATCAATAAGAACCAATCAAATTGCTTGCCCATAAAAAAGAAATATTTTCTTCATAACCACAGAACCCACTTTTCCACCTACTCACTCTTTCAACATTCATCTTTCCATTTTCTCTTATCTGAGTTTCCACTCCCTCTCTCTTAGGAGGAATACGGGAGTAGGTCTGCGATAGGGAGGGAGTTGTTTCTAATGCAGTGTGCCTGGAGACTGATGCTGACAGACCAGTTTTTAGTGTAGAGAAGGAGGAAAAGTTGAAGATTGTTGGGTTGTTTGACTGGTAGGGGAGAAGAGAGAGCAGGAGCGTGAGTTTGAGGAGAAGATGGGCTCCTCCGGGAGCAAACCTGGCCTGAAGAAGCTTCCTGGCTCCAAGAAGAATCAAAAGGTGCAGTTTAGTTCCTTTGAGTGGTTATTTTGCAATTACTGGTATTGGCAGATTTACTAGTTGCTACTCTGTTTCTCAGTAACTTCTTTCTCAAAGTGTAGGTATGTTTTGATTCTTAACTTCCTGCTCATCAACCAAACCATTGTTAATCTTGATAGGTGATTCATTATGGTTTGTGATGGCAGTTGTGTGTCATGTGTTGTGCATATGGAGTAATCTATTTTGTTTTAGCTTTATTTATGTTTCCAGTTTTTCAGTTTGTGCATTCAAACTTGAAGTGCACAATCACATGCTTGCTTTTCCCCCCGAGTCTGTAGAAGGTGTTCTTTGTGTGTTTTGCCCATGCAAAGTGTGTTTTTGTATAGTTTAGAAGTGTGAGCTTTATTTATGTTTCCAGTTTTTCAGTTTGTGCATTCAAACTTGAAGTGCACAATCACATGCTTGCTTTTCCCCCCCGAGTCTGTAGAAGGTGTTCTTTGTGTGTTTTGCCCATGCAAAGTGTGTTTTTGTATAGTTTAGAAGTGTAAAACTCCTGTCCTCTTATCCCAGGCCATGAACCCGGGTGTATGTGAGTACAGTAACCATAACAGGGAGTTTGACTTCAGTTTGGACGTGAGGTTTGTGTGTCAGCATGTTCTGTTTGTCCATCACGTGTTCAGCAGTCTCTGACAGTCTTTATCACAGAACATAGTAATCTCAGGCCATGTGATCTTTGGCTATGTAGAGGTTACTTTAACATTAAGCGTCACTTAATCACAGACACACACACATATGTCTTTCCTGGAACATTTAAATCAGCCTCAAACTGACCCTTGATCATGCCTGCAGATAAGAAACTGATTGTGATGGTTCTTATCCAACAACAACAACAACCCATTCTGCCAGTACTGACAGTGTCCAGCTGAGAGTCACACATAATGCATGATATCATTGCAAAAGAGTGTTTTATTCATAATTCTGATCAAATGTGAGTGTGTATTCATTGTGTAAAATAAATCAAGAAGTGGCTTGGTTTTTTACAGTATGTTTGAGGTTGTATTGAAGCATTTCTTGAATCTTTTCAAGGTTTTGGGGAGATTTTAATGTGTGGCCTGCAGTGCAGTTGTTCTTATTCTGTGGACCACTGGTGGTCCATGACCAGATTCTAAGTTATTGGCTGATTAAAAAACAAATGCATCTAAATTAATAATTATAATAGACAAAGAAGTAACAACATTATGTTAAATGACTGATTAATCAATTAATAACAATAACACAATTAACTAATTATGTTAGCAGTAGTTTGGGATTAAAATATGTTCTTCTTTAACAAACAGTGGGCTCATAGAAGTTCATTGGCTGTGAGTGGAAGTAGCTAATTTCAATGAAAGAAGAATTAGCTAAATATTTGGTGGTTTCCCCCAGTAGCCATTATTTTGTTATCATCTGTATTTATATGCTTATTAATATTTTGAATTGGCTTTTATTTTTATATTCTCAGTTTTCATTTAAATTTAAATTTGTAGTATTTTTTGTGCTTTTGTCGTTTTATTAGTTCTTTTAAAGCTACTTTTATATGTAGCTTTTATATTTTATTGTATCTTTAGTTTTAGTAATTTTAGTGCTTCAAATTCATTTTATTTCAACGAAATGTACATTTTCATTTAAGTCGTTAATCTAATATTTAGATTTTATTTTACTAACAAGTTTTTGTTTAGTTTTAATTAACAGCACTGTCCCCTAGATTTGGTTTATTAGGTTGTTTTTCATTTTTATTAAAATGTTTCTAAAAATGTATTGTGACAAGCTATACTTCTAAAAATATTTAAGACAACACATTCTTTTTGGTATTAAACATTTGTATGATTAAAAAAAATTATGCACCTTTTATGACTTTACATTTACTTTACTTTACATTCTTTCAAAAATACATAATTTTTTAAAGAATATAAATTAATCTTTTCCTTTACAGTATATTCTATAAGTCTAATACTGTATGTGACCCTGGACCACAAAACCAGTCTTAAAGGGTTACTCCACCCCAAAATGAAATTTTTTTCATTAATCACTTACCCAAGTCGTTCCAAACCCGTAAAAGCTTAGTTCGTCTTTGGAACACAATTTAAAGCAGCACTATAACTTTTGGCGCTCTAGCGGTTAATAAACAGAACTGCACACATCCCGCGGAAGAACATTCCAACCGGAGCTACTTCTCTAAGTTTATGTCTATGGCGATTCACGCAGGTATGTGTTACTCCGCAGCGGTGACGACCCGACCAGGCTACAATAGTCTAAATATAAGTACTTATTATAAGTGTACCGTAGTGATTCGGAATAAGACAAAAACGCGGTTTGGAAGATAATTTCATGATGTACTCGCTCATTATGTACATTTTGCAAATTTTGAACACAGAAAAAGTTGCATAGTGCTGCTTTAAGATATTTTGGATGAAAACCGGGAGGCTTGTGACTGTCCCATTCATTGCCAAGTAAATTACACTGTCAAGGTCCAGAAAAGTATGAAAGACATCGTCAGAATAGTCCATCTGCCATCAGTTGTTCAACCGTAACGTTATGAAACGACAAGAATACTTTTTGTACGTGAAGAAAACAAAATTAAAGACTTTATTCAACAATTTGTCTCCTCTGTGTCTCTCCGCATCACCGTAGCGCCATTTTGGAGAATAACCA